ATAAAAGAATCATTCATTTGGAATGATTAAATTATCATTCCAAACGAACGATAAAAAAATCGTACGATTAAAACGATTAAATTATCGTTTTAATCAAACGATAAAAAAATTGTTCATTTGGAACGATTAAAGTTATCATTCTAAACGAACGATAAGAAAATCGTTCATTTGGAACGATTGAAGTTATTGTTTCAAAAGAATGATAAAAGGATCGTTTCAAACGATCCAAAATTTCGGATTAATCTGAAATTTTCTGTTCAGTTCAGATTTTTACCAGTTTACAGTTCAGTTCAGTTTCGGATTGGCATTTTTAGGATTTATAATCTGAACTGAACCGAACTGAAATTTTCGGATCAGTTTCAAATTGGCCTATAATCTAGACTGAATTGAACTGTTCGGAGCATTAATGAATATTGATACAGTATCAAGAAGATAATTTTAATATTTTCTATAATATTTCAATATTATTATTTAAAATTGAATAACTGGCTTCATATTTTTATATTTTAGTACCATTGTATTTATTTGTGAATGGACTTTATCAAAAAATTTAAAAATAAATTAAAAATAACTAACTAAACGAATTACAGCACATGTAAAGGAATTACTTATTATAATGTTTCATTCTGATATAGCTGATTCTAGATTGAAAATGAATGCTAATAAAATGTATGAAGAACTTTTGAAAAGAGTAATAGATAGAGAAATTTCTAAAGAAGGTATATCAAAAGTTTTTACAATTGCAAATTAGATAACAAGCACCTCACAATCATTTAAGAAATCTATGGCTTTATGACTTTTTGAGAAAGCAAATCCATCTAAAACATTTAAATAAATAGATTTATATGACTTTTATTATATGAAAGTAACCTTTTAAAATTTAAAATTTTATTTGACTTATCCTGAAATCTAGCATTCATATATAATAAAGTCATTAAAAATAAAAGTATTATTAATTTTCAAAATGATATTCATAATCTCTGCTTTTTTTATATTAGATCATATGATTGATGTGTAAATAAGCATATTATAAACTAAATTTATTATTTAAGAAAGTGTAATTTTTAAACATTACTATACAATCTGCAAAATTTTACCCTAAATTTATATAGTAAATTTCTGTAGATCTTATCTAAATTAGTAATTAATAAGCTTTATTGTAATATGCTTTGATTTATTAATCAAATAAGGCTTAAGATTTTATTTAGTTATATATTTTATTTTATAAGTATCAAGATGTTTGTTTAAAAAATGATGATAAAATATAATAATAGCATTTCTAAGTATATATATTTTTCTAATATTTAAAGTTTACAAATATAACTATAAAGTATTCCTTCATAATTAAAAACTCTCTTAAAAAATTTTTATATAGACCCACTAAAAGTCTTCAAACATTTTTTGGCTCAATATAAAACTTAGAATTTTTAAATTTTATTAAAAAATATTTATTAATATATTTATTAAATACAATATGCTACATATTTAATAATAAATAATTAATACTTAGTTGCTTCAATCGCAGCCTGAATTCACTGTGGCATATTATCAACTAAATTTTTAATATTTTATATCAGAATTTGTTTTCATGCTCTTATAATATGTTGATCGAGTTGAGCAAAATTAGAAGGCAATTTTCCTTTTACGGATGCTCTTCTTGACTTTAGTCTATAGATTCTCAATAAATAGTCATGTCAATAGTTTGATAACAATCACTGCATTAATGGCAAAAATTATGCCACTATGTTGTTCTATTGTTAATTCTTTGAACATTTTTGTTATTTTAAAAAAATAAAATTTTATTTTGATCTAAAATCAAAATAAACAAATCAAATACATATTTATTTGGTTTAATTTAAGTAAACAATGGTAGGAATATTATATAGCTGCAATTTTCTATAGTCATAATATGTAATTGTATGAAAAAACTTAAAAGATGGCATCTAAAAACTTTTGGCAAAGTCTGTACATTATTTTAACTATATTCACTATAGCTGTATTTATTATTAATTAATGAATTATTACTTAAATTATTTGAATTACTATCATTGCTTTGCTCAGCGATTTTATCACTTTTAATAGAACAAATAGTATTCAAAGACATTTTAAGAATAAAAACAAGTTATTATTAAAAATATAATTATTTGATAATATCAGTAAATTAGAAGTGAATTTATTCTGAAATTATTTATTTATATATTTTCTATTTTAATTTACCTATTTGATCATTATAGTAAAATAAACAGTCATTACTTTTAATAAAATACAATTAACAAAATATAACTAAAATGATCAAAATAATTAGCAATAGAATTAATAATATTATATAAACATATATTTTATATAATTGTAAAATTAATAAATTAGAAAAAAAAATGATGCATTATTATTTGAATTCTGTATTAAATTGAGAATTATTTACTTTCAAATTGTATAGTAATAAGCCTTATTTTTTTAAAAAAAAAAAAGAATTAATGTTTTTTTCAAAATTTGATATTTTAGAATTTTCTTTATTTTTAGTAAGAAAATTATAATTAAATTATTTTTTCTTTTATTATCTCATATAACTTAATATAGCAATGATAAATTTTTCGCATTTTAATAATAATATAAACACTATTATTAAATAATGAAAAAAATCAATAATAAATAATAAAATATCAAATAACTAATTATGGTAAATAAAGCAATTGATTTTAATGAATTACAATTAATAAAAGTATTCAGATGTTTTACTAAAACTATAAATATTTACTGAGAAATTGGCTAGCATTATACTTCATTACAGATAATTTTGCTAAAATTTCTTTTTCATTGTGAAACTTACCAGAAGTAATCAAAATAATTAATAATTAAATTAATAATATTTATTATATATATATATATATATAATAGCAAAAGTTAAGTAATTAGAAAAAAAAACAACATATTATTATTATTTTGGTAAAATAAACAATAATTGCTTTTATTGAATATTGTGAACGAGTAAATGTGATGCAACTTATGTGATGCAAAAGAATGATCAATTTATAGATGACTTATCTGACTTGTGTAATATATCAGACATAATCAACATAAACGACATATTAGATATAACAGATATATATTATATAACTGACATGTTAGACATGTCAGTAGTATTCCGCACAGATTCGGATTGATCCGAATCCAATCTGAATCTGACAGATTTGGATTGGATCAGATTTGGACTTAAACTGATCCGTCAGATCCAGATCGGATCTGGATTTTAACGGATCCGTCGGATTCGGATCAGATTCAGATCCTGAAAAATGAAAATCGGATCAGATCAGATTTGGATAAATCCGATCTGATCTGATTTTGCGGAACACTACATGTCAAACATATATGACATAACTGACATATTAGACATGTCAGACATATGTGACATAACTGACATATTAGACATGTCAGACATATGTGACATAACTGACATATTAGACATAGCTGACATATTAGATATATTAGTTATATC